TGGATCCGCCTCTGCTAGACACAAAACCGCAGTCAACCGGGGTTAACAATTTTGGATTTCTCCGTATGGCATTTTTGAATCTCTGTTTTTTTCTTCTTTTTCTTTTCCAAGTGTTTGACGAATATTATTTATTGGGGTACTTTTGTTTAAAACTGTAAATGGCCATAGCGTGTCATTGTTTACAAATAAACATCTACCCATGAGCCTTTGCGCTTTATCGTTGCTTGGAACTCAATTTCCGCGCATGCGCAGGTGACGACCCCTTCGCTTTAATTATAGCGCGGTGGTTGTCGCGCAGCGCGTGTTCGAATTTTCTGTAAATAAACAATGTATTATACACGCGTTGTATGTGTCGCTATGAGTCCCATATCAAACAGGACTCGGCGCGACGACCACCGCATTCATTCCATTGAATATACAACATACAATGTTTATAAACAAAACAAAAAATCTATTTTGCCCGAAGTCGAAGTTCGGTTAACTGTTATTTAAAGTTCGAGTTACTAAATGTGGACGTTCAAAGAAAAGAAAAAATGTAGGTTGCCTGTAACTCGAAGTTCTGTTAACTGATAATTTAAACATCGAGATACAAATTGGACGTAGTTTCACAAAAATACTGAAATAGTTTCTAAAATACGAGTGTGGTCATTTTTGTAACTCGTTTTCGTATTTCGATGTTGGTAATTCGATGTCCATAACTAGAACAATAGACCATTTTCCGTTGACTGCGTGATCCCGCGTTGTGCGTGAAATCGAACGAAAAAACAGACAAAGCCATAGCGTCGTAGTGGCTTCCGAACATCGTGTGGGGTTCGTCAAACGCGAAAATATTTGTGTGTATTTTCCCGCTTAATAATGTGCTAAACACATTTGGTGATGATTAATTTCTATAAAGTTAGGGTGTCTCAACGCAATATTCCCCTCTCAAGAATCGCCATTACGACATTGAACTATGAAAAAATATATATATATATATATATTCAAAATCAACTCGATCGATCTTTTTGACAGACGTTCGGTCCGCGCCTTTCACGCAATATACGAGATCCCGAGATGAACGGAAAATCACCTATTCAGCATCTCGAATTTTTCTTGTTGGCAGTGACTTCATCAGATACTAATATAACTGGGTTCTGAAAATGTAACACAAATATTTCTCACGTCATTAGCAGCCAATCAGCCATAAAAAAAACCGCCTACTACGCTACGTAGCTGATATCGAAAAGACAATAATCAATACATCTGCTAAATATCCTAACAGTCACAGGAAATCAGATTAATTTATAGATAAACATAAATGTTTTGAACAATTTGAAATATAAAAGCCCTTCCACAAATGTTTTGCTTCTCATTCTATCGTGTGTGGCGCACTTTCCGAGACGCAAAATTGGTCTAATTGCTCGAAGTTTCGAATATTAAATCATGCTTGTGTGTTTGTGTATCAACAATTTCAAGAAAAGACGATGTACATTGCCATTTCCTCTATGCGTCAAGTACTTTTTTTAACAATGACTGCTAAAACTGGTCACTGTTATCACCTGATGTGTTCATAATGCTGGTTAAAGCGCGGTGGTCGTCGCGCAGCGCATGTTCGAATTTCATGTAAATAAACAATGAATATAACCGGTCACTGGTAGCATAGTGGTTGTCGCTCCACACTCATGATCGGTAGACCCATGTTCAAATCCTACCTTAGGCTGAACATCAAAGGGTCAACCCCTACCCTGGTTGAGTGTGCCACAGACTCAATGGGAAGGCCAATTCCACTGACCGAGATTCATTCACTAACGAATCTGACTTTGGGGGAACCTTTGTTAAGGTCCGCAGGTGCTTGTGTTCGACCGAGCCTGGTTGACGCCAGGATAGCGCATTAAAATTGCCATTTGACAGAGAGATGGCCACACAGCCCTGTCATGTAGTCCCAAACATGAATATGACTTCTGTGGCAAAATGCACTATGTGTCAGCACTAGCACTTGCAATTTGCACATACAAAAAAAAAAGTCAGGAGAGACAACGGTGACATTCAATGTCCAGAACTGTCGCCTGGCACAAAAATATTTTTAAAAAAAAACAATAAAAAAAAAAACAATGTATTTTACACGCGTTGTATACGTCGCTGTGAGTCCCATATCAAACAGGACGCGGCACGACGACTGCCTCCCTTTAATGTCATCATTTAATGCGCATATGGGTATATGTGAGTTTGGTATGCAATCTTTAATCAGTAATTCTGTTTTGTCTTTATCACTTTATCAATATATG